TTCTTCTTCTTCTTCTTCTTCTTCTTCTTCTTCTTCTTCTTCTTCTTCTTCCTCCTCCTCCTCTTCTTCTTTTATGTTTCTTTTTATCGCTTTTAATTTTTTTTTTAGCTGATTACCTTAATTTGTTACTCGTACGTGCTTATAAGATCAGCTTGATAGCACGACAATCAGTAATCTCATAATACGTGATCATGGCTGTACTAATACACTTAACGGAGTAAGATTATCACTTCGATATATTGACAAATATTGGATTACTTGATGTTATTTATTGGATAGAAATCGTTTAATATTTGTATACGTCTATAAAGTTTTTGAGGATAATTTCAATGTAATTGAGAAAATTGATTATTGAATATGATATTATATGATACTATTTTTCAGTTAAATGAATTATTATAATTCTTGGAATATTGATATATTCCAAATTAATATTAAGTCAAAAGAGTACCAGTTATAACTTAATATTAAATGTTGTAGTTAGAGTTAATATTAATATTAAGCCATTGAAATATATATGAAAATTTAATAAAATTTTAAATTGTGCTTGAGTTTTATCATTAATTTATGCTTTATGTACAAATCAATAATATCTCAAATATTGGATAAAATTGATGATTATTTTAATCCTCAAAAACTTAATCAATTTTAAAACATTTTCCAGTTCGATTTTATCGTTATCAATATCTGTTTATGATGAAATATTCGATTACTTCAATTATGAAATTATTATGTATACTTATGTATGTTTTATTCTTGAACAAAAGAAGAAAAGAAATATCATTTACATTGCAGTTATTGCTGGTAGCGAAGGTGTTCCTGACGCTCTGCAAAAATGTCATTCTCTGTCGAGAGATCTTCAAAACAATCAGACCACTATTTTTATGCATTTATCAGATCTCAAACTTCAAATTAATAATTTTACGACGCAGGTAAATTTATGATTTTTAATAGAAGAGTTATCCATTGTGTCAATTCATAAATCTATGAATCAACAATTTCATTAATTATCTTTAAATATCTTATCTTTCATTAATTTAAATAAAATTAAAATGAATATTATGTTTTTTATTATATTACTTTCAAGTATTATAATATATCAAATATTATATTCTATTGGAATTAAAAAAAAAATAAAATTCATTAATGATTTTTTCTAGTTTTTCATTAATATAATTAAATATTTTCATTCTTAATTTTTCTTTAGATTATTAATTAAGATAATATTTATATTGATAACTTACACAAAAATTTATGAATTGACTCAAGATTTATTTAAAACTCTTATTATGTGTTATATATGTTATAAACAGAATTCTATTTTTTAAAATTTGATCTATAGTTAGCAGTCATTCAACACGATTTGCATCGAGTAGAAGAATGGTTTAAAGCTGATCCAACATTAATCAACGTGCCAACAGATTTAAAAGCTCTTTCTAGTAGCGTGATGTCTTTTGGAAGCCAAATAGAAGATCTGCGTGCCACAGTAAAAACTCTTAAAGAATCTAATGCTAGGGTACAAGATGTTCAAACCACTATGCAACAAAATATTACCAGTATCAAGGTTTATAAACAAATTATTCATCAAATAATATTATAATATATCAAAAAAATAGAATTCTAAACATTATTTCTTTTCTTTTTCTGTATTGTAGAATACGATTACAGATTTGTCAAATATTACACAAAAACCTCAGATACTGACCACAAATGAGACAAAAATAAAGACTGATCAGTTGAACGCGGCAATCGTACATTTATCTGATAATTTGATGAACATAAATGAAACACTGTCGAGATCGGTACAATGGGTGGCGGAGGATCAGAAGAAAGATCATGTAAATATTTGAAAATAAATAATAAGTGAAAGTTATACATTCTTTGATGGAATAATGTGATATGTTTTGCAGGAAACGTTGGTATTACTTCAGGAGACTACACAGAATGTTAGCATGAAAGTGATATCCTTGGAGAGAGAGTGCGTGAAGACTACTATATTAACTACTGTTATGAAACTGAACGATGAAGTATGTATATGTTCCATAAATAGAAAAAAAATTGTTTAATATTTCTATTATATTTATTAATAATTCTTACGAAAGATAATGAAAGATTATCTTCAAACAGGAAATCAAATAATATAATTCTCAAATAATATTTATTTAAGAAGGTTATTACTTAAAAATAATTTAAATATTTTTTATAAATTTTTTTGTGTGATTGCTTTTCAAAATATTTTTAAAATTCTTTACAAATTTTAATAGAAATTATTTTTTTTCAAAGATAATTTCATTATTTTTTATAAATTATTATAAGTTCTATTAAAAATTAATTTCTAATTAATTATAAATTTTATAGGTAAATGGAATTCTCACAGCTAATATTGATCTTAGAGAAAAAGTGAAACAATTGGAGCAATCTTACGATAGTTTAAAAAATTCCACAAACTTAATGCTGGCTACTATACCGGATATCCAAAATCAAAGATTAGATATTAAAACAAAAGCTTTCGAAGAGTCGATTGGCAACGATGTGACTACGGAAAAAGATCATCGTTTAGGTAAGTCGATTCGTTAAACCATATTCGTTCGTTTATTTTAAATTTAAAAATCTATTGTGCAGACGAAATAACAAACATTTGACTTTTTTATTAAACATGTATATGAGAATATTTGTTATGTATTTACATATTTATTGGATATTTGCGAATAAACAAATTGCTTTTATTTTAGTTTTATTTTTATAGTAAAATATATATAAGATATATGTAAGAATGAATTTATTTTTTAAATTATATTTTTTTGTATTGTATTATATTAATTTTAATTTTGTAAATATTTCACAAAATTTTCACTTTAATAATTATATATTAATAATTATTATTTCAATAATTATTTATAGAGATATTTTAAATTTTTTAATAAAATTTTAATATTGTATGAAAATATAATAAAATTTTCAAATTTTTAAATTATTAATGTAAATTATTTTTAAATTAATGAAAAAAAATAAAAATTTCAAATAATTAAAATTTCAAAAATTCAAAAAATTTTAATTGATAAAATCTATTCATCTTATCTTTCTTTATAGATATAATTAAATATTAATAAAAAAATATCAAATTTTTTTTTTCTTATTTTACAGTCCTAGATGAGACATCTATAAGAAAGGCTTCATCAGATAAATCGAAACGTTCAAGAATGAACCCGTAATATATTTCTAGAAAAATTTACAATGCAAGAATGTATGGGCGAGCTTTTATTTTGTAAAATAGCAAAAAAAAAATGTACTTTGTTTTTCGGGGAAGAGCGCAAGGAGATATTATGCGTGTGTATCTTGTAAATATTAAATATATTAAGTATGTTGAGAAATTCCCTGTGTATACACTGATGTTCTACATAAGTATCGCTCAATTTTTCAATCATTTGCATTTATTTAAGAAAAAGTTTTTTTTTTTCTTAAATAATTACAAATATTTGAAAAAATGTGACAACAATTGCAAGGGATATTTGGTATAAAGAGGTAAATTTATGAATCAAGTGAAAGATTTTTTTTTTGTCCCTATTTGTGCACAGAATAGTTTACAAGAATTTTTAAGTGGATTATTCTATTATCAAAAAAATTGAAAAACATTAAAAATTGAACATGATTTAGAAAAAGCTATTCATAAACAAGCAATAAGATATATGTTGAACCGTCTAATATCATCAAGATTTAAAAATAGATTAAAATTATATTATGATAAATGCCAATTTTTAGAGAATGCCACGGCCTGTATGCGGCTATCTGAATTTATTCAGATATACCATCGAAAAAGTACAAAGAATGTTTACACTTGTTCTTGCATTATAAAATATAAATGAACAAATAAAAAAGAAAAAAATTTAGGAAGCGTTTATTCGCACTATTATGTCCACTACTAACGTAATCGCAATAAATTTTTCTACTCTTCTACTATTTATAGTGAAACATAGTCTATCAATTTTGCCAAATGTTAGAAAAATTCAACGATTGCAAAAATTCTACACATTAGCGATTAGTTTTTTCATTATTCATAGATTATTCATTTTTTTTAGTGTAATATAATGTACAGTGTTCAAATATAAAAGTGTGATGGAAATTTGTCCATGTTGCACTAAAAATTTCATTAGCTAAGCAAGATACATTTTGTAGAATTTTATATTTATTAAAATTAACAGAAAGTATTACAAAATAGCAATGTTATACTTTCATATTTGTTTATTTGTTATACAGAGTAACCATTTTTATCATTTTGAATTTTATCTATAAAAGGAAGTTGTAAAAGATGTTAAAATATTTTTCAAATAAATAGGTAGATATATTAAGAACATTTCAAGGTCATTTAGAGCTTTTTTAAATGGTATACAATATATTTTTTGTGTAAAATAAAATATAATAATATTAGTTGTAAAAAAAGATTATATAGATGAACATGTATGACTTTAAAATGACCTTGATAATTTCATCTTTTAATCTACATATTTAATGTTTTAACGTCTATACTTATTTCCTTTGAACGTATTTCTTAATATACGTTCATTTGTGTGTAGAAATTTAATGGTTTACTCTGTAAATCGACACAAATATATTGTAATTCGTAAACGATTCATAATTAGAATTATTAATTATTTTAAACACGCTATAATCTAATTTTCCTTATCTAAAAGTCAATATATGTTAATTTTCGACTTTTCTTCATTTGAATGTTATATAATCATTCTCGCGTAGTCATCGAGTGGACTGTAGCGATTGCGAATATAACTGTATATTTAAACGAATGTTTGTCCATTCTAGTGAGGAATGAGAAATAATGTATTCACAAACAAAAAAAAGTTCATGTAGAGTTTCGATTCATGTGAAAAGGTTGTATGAAATCAATATGAATTTATAAAGAGAAAGACAAAACGCGTATAAACGACAATACGTCGTTGTGTGAATAAAGAATTGATTATTCAGATTCAGTTATGATACTATTCTTTATTCTATTTCCTATCGTTTATTAAATATTAGTATTTTATGCTTGTCTTATTTTCATCTCATTACATAATTTAAAATTAAATAATAAATTCAAAACTTACATAAAGATAATTAACTATTCTTCGAATTTTGTCTTTGTAATGTCTTGAACTTAATTTAAACGAAATTTTTTATAAATATTATTATAAGCGTATTATAACATAATAATGATAAATTATTATATATCTCGTATAATTTTTTGTAAATAAATATTTATAACAAAGATATTTAATTGCACTTTGAATTTACATTTAAAATACTTTAAATTTATATTTTCAAGATTTTGTATATAACTAATTTTATTTAAAAATAATGTGTGTGTGATTTCAATTTTTAAATTAAGATTGAAGAATTTAAATTTAGATTGACTTAAATATTTTTAAAGGTTATGTAATGATATAGATATATAATGATAAGAAATAAAATAATAAATAATAATTTTGTTTAATTTTATAAAATTTAATCATTTAAATTGTGAAATAAATATTTGTCAAGTTATAATATTTTTTGTTAAGATTTCTATTATATATTTTGAATATTTATACTACGTATTCATTATCACTTATATACATTATTAAGAAGAAATTAAGTGAAGATTGATGAAAATACCTTTCGATATTTACGATTTTCTAATTTTCAAATATTCGAAACGTCAATCATAAAGCCGTATCAACAGTATGCAGTAATTAATCCGAATGAAATCAAATTATTTCTTTATAAGAAGATCAAATGATAAGGTTTGAAAAATCGTATCGAAACAACAATCGCAAAAATGCTAAATGGTAACAAATTCTAGGAACGGTTTATTCAAACAGTTTATTTTAGCGGGTTCCATTTTAAAAACAAAGCTATTTCTTTCTATTTTTGTAAAACTAATTAGTAAAATAATTGAATATCATGAAAATTTTTACATGTTTTGGCTTTTAACCTTGAACGAGACATCGACCGATTCGATAACATTACGAACAAGTATCGGATCGGTGTTGTCCCTATCTAGGAGACTATTACGTGGTCTGCGTTTGACATCTGCGCATTTCTCACGTTCGTTCGGAGGAAAAATCAAAACAATCAATATGGCGGACCCGAACAACGAAGCTGCATCGTCGAGTAGCGTTTCGGAGCAGGCCCCTACGGCCACTCCAATTCGCGACGATCTTGAAAAAATAGAGGACTTTCTTGAACCAGATAAAAAGCGTCGTAAAGTGTCACGGAACGATGGAAAAACCGAGCAAAAATTGGAACACCGCTTGGGCGGCATCCTTTGCTGCGCAGTTTGTCTCGATTTACCCAAGGCGGCCGTTTATCAGGTAAGTTTCTTATATCTTTCTTTCAATATTTTCTAAGTTGTTTATAAATTTTGTTGGTATGAATTTACAAATGTACGTTTTATCGATCGATATTCTGTGACTTTAACATGCCTTGACGATCGTTCTTCTAACGACGTCGTTTCTTTCCATCCGACATTTTCACCCGAGGCTGATGGGTGACTTCGTCGTTTGCTGCGATATATATATCATACGTACGTATGGATATAACTAAACGAAATGAATACCTATTCTTTATTAATCTTTGATCGCACATTATGCACTGTGACAATTTGTTGATATTTCACCTGAAATAGTCTTTTGTTGTTTTTGATTGTATTTCTCAGCAGTAGTATATATAAAACTCATTCAAGTATATACATACATATACATATATAAAAAGTATTTACGTCGATCGTAGTGGAATATAGTTTATAATGTTATTTGATGATCTATTATAAGATATTTTATTATTTAATTTTTATACAATCTAAATTAAAAAAATAAAATAATTTTAAATAAAAAGAACACAAAAATGAAAATATATTTTGATAGAAAAATATGTTTGAAAAAAAGAATAGAAAATTTTTAAATTATTATTATTATATAGCTTATCATTCACTTGTTTTTGTAATATATACTTTTTTTACTGATTTCATTCATGTTGCAGTTAAGTTTGATTTATAATCAATTATCAACAGCCTTTAATACTACTTTGTTTCTGTGTTAAATTCTTTCTCTCTCACTCTGCCCATTTTTCTTACCTTTTCTCTTAATGATTATAATATTTTTAAATAGTTTGTCCTTACAATAAGATTTTATTTTTTTAATATTACAGGAAAATAATTATTAATAATTATACAGATAATTTTATTTTAAATTTTAATTTTATAAATATTTAAAACAAGTTTAAGTTATTTTTATTATTATTAAAAATTGAAAAATCAACATTGTTTTTTTTAAGATAGTAATAATATAATTACAGGTAGGTAATTATATATTTTTCTTAATAGGAGTGATATTCAACATTTGAAAAAACAGATGTATGAAGAACAGCCTTTAATTTTGCTATAAATATTACAATATAAAATTATATTATATTTTATTATTAAATATATTTATGAAGTTTAAATAACTAAATTATGATGAAAAAACATCTTCATATACAATATGCTTTTACAAAATAATTTTTTGCAATGGATTTTTAAAATATTTAGTATTATAGCAAACATAGTGCCTAAGTGTTTTTTCTTACATAATTTGTATTGTAAAGGTGACATTTATGATAAACATTTATGCATGCATGTAAAATAATTCTTACTATTTATGGCGAATTTTTAACTCATGCGACAAACATACAGTTATATCAAAGAGAATTATTGTATGTATGCATGCCTAATCAATGATCCCATTTTTTAGTAATGTTTATTTACAGAATCTCCTCTGTTATTAAATTTATAGCATTTCATTCTATCTGTACTCTATTTATATTTTGTTCTTAGTTTTCTTTTAATTCTATTGATGGAAATATATATATGTAATATATTCTACATTCACTATTTTCATTAACTGTAAAACAGTGGGAAGAATGTTGCGTTTATCCTATCAAAAAAATGCATACATGTAAGTTATTTAGTGCGCTATTCAGCGCATAATGTACTTTTTATTTTTACTAAGGTATACAAGTTTGAACGTTGTATTCATGCATTTGTGAACTCGGAAATATTACACAATACATTTGATTTTTATACATAATACACAAGAAATTTGAGATTTAACTTCATTTTTCTTGATATTTCTATAAAATCAATTAAGAAAATAAAGATAACAAAGAAAGAAAAATTATTTAAGTTACCAAATCTTTATAGTCTTATAGCATATATTATACAATATTTTTTCCAATTATAAAGTATTATGTTTATTGTAAGAAGTAATCGAAATGAAGGTACTACCCAAATAGTTACTAGGAAAAAATTTTATTGTAGATCCATGCGGAACTGATGTTTATCAATTATGATTAATAGTGAGAGAGTGAGAGTGAGAGAGAGAAAGCGCATTTCCAGAAAATCTGTATAACATGTATAGTTAAAAAACATTGAACAAAATAAACATTCTTAAAGGTTATTAGTTAGTTATTTCGCATATGACACCCTTTTTCACTTATCCTACGCATCATTATCCTTTTCTCTTCCTTTCTATTATCAATATTGGCAGCATTAAATGACAATTGCTTTTAGCAATATTCATATTGTTTTAAACCTACTGGTCTCACAATATGATTACTTATTATTAATAGTGCTATTACAATTTTGTGTTTCAGGTTTAAAAACATCAAATTATGGTAATATACACGATATTAGTTTTGTTATTCTAGTTTGCTTAATGTTTTTATAAGGGTTGTACATATATATTAAAAATACAATATCTCACAGTTTGTGCAAAATAAAAAATTAAGTAATTTATATAAAAAAAATTATTTTCTTTTTATATTTAATATCAGAATATTTATATCAGAATAGTAAATTAAATTTTGCACATAACTGTGCAAAATTTGCACATAAACTATGTAATAGATACAACAGGCAATAAATAAAATTATTAACAAAGTTAGGATTATCTTCACAAAAGTACAAAATTAAGAATACTAGTAATACATACTGCAACAATGTTCACAGTGTACAAATGGACACTTGATGTGTGCCGGTTGCTTCACTCATGTCCTCGCAGATGCCAGGCTAAGAGATGAAATGGCAACATGTCCCAACTGCAGAATCGAGATCAGCAGAACATCTCCATCTCGAAATTTGGCAGTTGAAAAAGCAGTATCTGAATTACCAGCAGAATGTCAATATTGTGCAAAGGAATTCCCAAGGAATTCCTTAGAACGTCATGAAGAGACCATGTGTGAAGAAAGGTAATTAAGATCAATAAACAGAATTAAAAAAATAAAGTTATATTAATTTTTTTTTATGTATACGTATAGAATATCAAGTTGCAAATATAGTAGAATCGGTTGTCCATGGCGTGGACCTAATCACGAACGTCCAGAACACGAGGCACATTGTGTACATCCGCATCGTTCAGGCCTGGATGTCATGGAAGCTCTACGTGATATCGATGCTCGTACTCTTGAAGAACGTAGGCTGTATGACAATGTCTTTGATCTTTTGTCCTACGAGAAAATCACATTTAACGGTCTGTATCTGTTTCTCGTGTATTAAGGCTCTCAAATTCTTATTATTATATATTCTTATTATCTTATATATTCTTATATATTCTTATTATATATAATATCTTGTTTAGATGAAAATATTACAAAAAATATTTTATTTTGTCTTTTGCTTTAGCAGCAACAGGAACAATGCTTATCAAAATTATCTAAATTAAAATATTATTTATTTAAATGTTTTTATATGTCATTAGATACCTAAAAAATTAAATAAATTCCTTTTTATTCGATTTTGCTTCTTTCACCATTTTAATAGAGGCATAGAAAATAAAGGATACGAGTTATCTGTAGAATTTCGTATTTTATAGATTTACAAATGAAGCCATATCGCACGGACGAGTTTGTTCATAAATTATTTTATGAAACTTCTCGTTTTACGGCGTTTAACAATCAATGGGTTGTAAAAGCTAGGATCAATAATAGTCAGCGTGATCCTACACAAAGTTCAGAAAGAGACATGACTTATCAAGTATGTAGAAACGTAAAAAAAATTCTGTAAAAGTATTTTTTTAATATATTTTTTAATATATATTTTTAAATATTACAGTTAATTTTGAAAACAAAAACAACGTATCCATTACCGCTTCATTATTTGATATTGAAAGGACCTTTCGGAGATATGAAAGTACAACCAAGAATACATAAATTCGAATTCACCGATCAAGAAAACGAGAGTCCTTATTTACCTTTACCTTTACCTGATACGGCAGAGTGCAATAGACTGCTTGCTGCAAGAGCTATTAGTTTCAGGTAAGAAAATAAATAATACATATATATAATAAATTTTTAAGAAATTCCCAAGAAGAAAAAAGTTTTTAATATGCAAAATCTATTTTCATATTATCATATTTATTATTTCAGACTAATAATGTTTTTGGCATCCAAGTAGTTCCACAAAACAATTGCTGTTATCAAGATTTTATCGAGAATGAATTATAATTGACACAACTTTTTAGATTTAACAGTGATAAGAACATAGATCACACAACGGTTTATAACCGACTATTAGTAGTGTTTAACCGTAACAATAAAAACAAAGATGCTAATTCTACTGTAGTCTATACACATATTACATTCAGAAAAATGTTACACTGCGTTGAAACCGCAAATAGTATGACACAGTTATAGCAAATGTAATTTTCGAAAAATGTAGAATGTTTAATTTTGTTTTTTTATTTTTATTGAGAAATTTCTTTTTGTTAACTGTCTAAAATTCATTTGAGCTTTATGTAAATCATTGTTGTTAGACAAGTGTATTAAATTGCATTGATATTGGTAAATAGAACTATTACACAGAGAACATAATAAAAAAAAAAATATTACATATTTCGGATAATTATATTGTCTAAAATGAACAATTTAATGCACATGCCTGTCGACAAAAGCTATTACAGATTCTTCTATTTACTTATAAATTAAATGTTATTAATGTAACATTCAAAATTGACATATTGTAATAGAAAAAAAATTAAATAAATTTATTATAATTATAACTTTTTAGTTTAATATTTAAATTATAAGAACATTTACTATAGAATAATATATATATTTTTTTATATTTACTTTTAATTATGAAAATTAGACAGTTTGTTGTAATTCTGATAAATTAATGAAAGTATTATTATTGGTTTTTGGACCATTTATATTATTAGGTGGGAAAATTAAAGGATTTAAATTATTTTCTGGTGTACTGACACTATGTTTGCGGTACTTCGGTGTAGGTGGTCTTGGATCTGGTTCAGAACAACCCTTTAACCAGTGGGAAGTGACTTGTCCTTTGCCCTTTAATTCCACTTCACCTCTGAGTTCCAAATCAAATGTTCCAAACTTATCCAATATACATTTTGTTGCATCAGAAATATGTATACGTAGTGCTATATATTGTACATATAAAAATATTCAAAAATTTTTAAAATTAGAATTCATATACATGCGTACATGCGCGCGTGATTATCTATTTTTATAATTACATATTTTTTCATGAAATGGATATCATTTTTTTTTTAATTTTTTTGAAACGACTTACGTAAACCTGAAGACTCCATTCTCGATGCAGTATTTACTGTGTCACCAAAAAGACAATAATGTGGCATTTTTTGTCCAACTACACCTGCACAGACTGGTCCGCTATGTACACCAATTCTAACACTTAGTTGTGCATTTTGTTTATGCATTATAGTGAAAGAACGTACAGAATCGAGAATTGCTAAAGCCATTAAAGCAATTTCCCTTGCATGTTCATTGCCATTTCTTTCTGGCAGGCCAGATACTACCATATATGCGTCTCCTATTGTTTCCACCTTAATTTAATCATATAAAATATATAAATTTCAATCAAAATTATGAAATACGTGTTTTGATTTAGATAACATTGAAATACCTTATAAACATCATAAAATTCGATGATACGATCAAAAGTACTATAAAGATCATTTAAGAAATCCACCACTTCCATTGGTGTACTTTGTGCACAGAGAGCTGTAAAGCCAACTATATCACTAAAATAAATTGTCACACACTCAAATTGCTCTGGTTGAACGAGTTCTCCGGCCATTAATTGACAAGCCACTTGTCTGATTATAAATAGTAATAAGTATATAAATTATCGGAAAAAAAAATAATCTCTGAAAATAGTTACCTTGGAAGCACTTGATAAAGAAGTTCTTCACTACGTCTTTTTTCTAAACTTAACTGCTCTGTTTTTTCTTCCACGAGAGCTTCTAAATTATTTGCATATTGTTCCATACGTCTTAATAAATCATCCATTAAATTTTCACAGTAACCTCTGAAAGATAGTGGTTTCAAATTCATTGTATTTATTTTTAAACATATGATACTTGACTTAAAAAATTTATTATTTAAAAAAAAAGAGTTTACGTTTAAAGAAGATATTAAAATTGAAGCTTACTTCATAATGCCACGTATAGTTTCACGAATTGCATGAAATGTTGGTCGTTCTTCTGGAATTTCATTCCAACATTTTTCCATAAGGGATAGAATATCCGGTGGACAATCTTTTGGTGCCACTTCCGGTCTGAATGGTGGAGTTTCTGATGCTGCGACGCGGCTAACAATCTTGGTAAGATATAAAAAATTATAATATTTTCATAGCATAATATTTAATCATAGAACAACAAATAGATAAAAGAACAAATAAATATTAATTACAAATAGAGGAATAACATAGTTTAAAATTATTTTAAAATTTTTATATACCTCTTGAGAAGTTATAAATGATTTCACAGATTCATATGGACCACCACGAACTACAATTTCTTCTAAAATGATCGCGAAACTATAAACATCCCCTTTTTGGGTTGCTGTACTGCCAGGTGTCACAGTTAATGGTATAAGTTCCGGAGCGATCCAAAGTAATTCTGCCAAATATATAATAAATTTATAATATTTAATCCTATTTTAATTTAATCTTATACTAATTTTATTCCTAATCTATTTTTTAAATTATTTTGACATACTAGTATAATAACTATCATCCATAATTAAATCAGAAGGAATAGTAAGGGTTTTAAGTCCAAAGTCTGAAATTTTTAAAACGAAGCGACCATCGATCAAACAATTACAAGATCGAAGTTTTCCATGAGCTGAAACCTCGCTAGCATGAAGATAAGACATTCCCTGCAAAAAATAAATTGTTTCTTTGTATTTATAAATATATAATAATAATAATAATAATAAAATGTTATCTTAATATCAATGAGGTAGCAAGAAATATAATTATATAGAGTGGTTAAAAATTATATGAATAATTTTATTTATAAAATAATATATTTATTTATTTTTTTAAGAATTTTATTTTTAAAAATGAGATTTAAAAAATTGAAAATCATATTGTTAAGTCACAAAATTATACTATACATATTGTATAATTGGATGAAATGAACATGATATAATTTTTGCACCTGCTCTACCTTCACAATATCGTGGATCAAAGACATTCGAAAATTCCAATCTAATTTAATAGCATCGTTCTCTAGTACATCCTTCAAGGAACCTCGAGGACAATATTCTGTCAAGATTAAAACTGTTGGTGATGGAGAACAAAAACATGCACCAATAAATCTGAAATTTATTTTTATGCTTTATATTTATTATTAAATTTTTTTAGTATTTTTAAATTTATTTAGTATTAAATAATAATTTATATTATTATATTTTTTTATCACAAAATTTTATTACTATTTTACCTAACAGTGTTTTCTGAAGTAACATCTCGTACTTGTTTAATTTCCCATAATAATTTCTTTGTGACATCAACCACTTTCTTTTTAGTAATTTTTTTTATAGCTACTCTTTCCCCTTTGTAAATTCCAACGGTTGTGAATGCAGTGGTCGGAGGTAAAGATCCACCGCTAAATTGTGATCCTCGACGAATACGTTGTTCCAATCCGAAATTCTATAAAAATAGGACTGATTTTAATATGTATTTTTTATTTGATTTTATTCACACACTTTTTTAATTCACCTCAGCAATCGCTTGGTGTAAATTAATCTTTGAAGAGAAAGGTTTTCCTATTTCCAAAAGTAACTCTTCTGGTCTAATTCTCCAAGACATGTTGTTCAGATCAGCTGATACTCTTAAATGTCTATAGAAAAATTTTCCATCTTCAAATCAATAATTTTTTTCAAATCAAAAAATCTATAATTTCTTGTTCAATATTTGTTAAAAATCTCTTGTCAACTTTAATAATGAAGTTAAAAATCAACATATAAAATATAATTATTATAATTTAAATGATAAGGAAACAACTAGCCTGTACAGCACACAAATTGCAGTAACAGCAACAAGGAGGAACACAACAAGTGCCAAGCTAGTATATGCGACAAAAGTATATGCTTCGGTCGATGTGCACGCCGGATCATTCCCGAGAAATCCACATTCGGGCACATCCACTGGTGGACCTTCTCTTCCTCCAGGCCAATGAATCTTCTTCCCAATTACGGGACTATATTCACGATTTACTCCTAAATAATGCGCCACCACCTCAAACCTGAAAGTCTCATATTAATATTATTTCTATGTGAATACATGACATAATATCTAATTATATTAAAATTCTGTTTTGAATTTAGAGTAGAACGATATTTGTTTCATAGGAATGAATATACTCAGAGTTAGTCCAGTAGAATGGGGCTTGATTAACATGATCAAATAGATCAGAGGAATAGTTGGCTTAATTGACGCTGACCTTCCCGTAATAGGATCTAAATCCAGGATACTGTAGTCCGCGTCGCGGTCTCCATTGTCGTCGATCCTGACGTGTCCTGTAATACCAATGAAGTCTCGATCCCACATTCTCCTCGTTATCGATATACCGTCTCTGATATCTCCACCCTCGGTCAGAGTTTCGTTCAATGCTATCCCGAGTAAATATACACCGTCATAAAAAGCTCCGATAAAAAAATTCACCTGGAATATAATTAAAATGTTATTATGTTTCTTACGTTATTTAATAAATATTTTAATAACTTTAAAAGGGCAGATTTTTAAGATATTATTGAAGTATGTTATCATAAGTTATTAAAACTTATGAATGTTCATCAAATATTTAATATTAAATGTATGCAAATAATAATTTATAATTTTAACAAATAATTTTGTTTATTTTGTTTTGTTTAATGACAAAAAATTTCTTCAATTTAAGCTTATATTATATTTAGAAAGAAAGAAAATTTACTTCTTCTCCTTCGGAGAAAGAATAATTATAATCTGTTTGAGCTCTTTGACGAACAGTATCGGCGAAGTCTTGGAATCTTGGACTTGTTGGTTGCAAAAGAGATACTCTGAGCAATGCTTCATAGGCTTTTCTGGCAATGGTATCGTCCTCATCACCAACTTCCCAATCGTGATCACCCCAATAGGATCCCTGATTTTTTTTTTAAAAAAGATAATTTTTATATTTGTAAATAAGTATAGTTATAATTTTATATAACAATAAATATATTATATATTAAATAATGCAATAAAATACAATAAAATAATATAGTAATATAATTCAATAAATAATTTACAGATTAAGAAAATATTATATTTAAAAATATTTGTATATATTCAAATAAAATATTTTATCATGCAAATCAATCAATGCAAATCAATTTTACATTTAAATAAAAACATCCTGTAACCGTGACGTTTTTTAAATTTAAATTTAAATAAAATTTTTTTAAATTCCTAATTTAATCCAAATAAATCTTACACTATATATTTGACGAAAAAAAGAAAAAAAAAGGAAAAACAAAGAAATTTTTACTTGAAATATTTCAACATCAAGGAATGCCCAATCTCCCTTCGTCATTTCCAAATCGTGAGCAGCCAACATGAATTTCCTGACCAGAGTTCCTCGAACGCTAAGAATCAACACTATCAGAAAAATAAATGGCATATCAATAAAAAATAAAAAGAAAAGTTAATTTATTTGAAAAAAATTTAAGATACATCCAACATAAAATTTATTATACACAATAAAGTGATAAATACTTAAATCAATGATAACAAAATTAAAATAAATTTTGGAACATTTACCTCTTGCATACATACTAGCATCGCGTAAGTAAAAATGGTACGACTCATCTTCAAAATTTCCATCTAGTTCTCTCACAAATTTTAACAATCCCTCTTTTCTTAAACCATATTCCAAATTTTTTCCAACTGTCCACGAGAACAAATCTGATCTGTCCAATATTAACGCCACGTGGGACCATCCAAATTCTTTAAAAATACTAGAGAATACCAATCGAAGTCGACACTGACAGTAGGACATTCTTGTTAATGTTCGATATTTGCTCTTATCTTTAAATATTCCCTTAAAGAAAAAAAAAAATAAATATTGAAATTTTATTCCATATAATTTTTAGAGCAATAGATAATCTCTTTTATTTTTTTATTTTATACGTATTTTATTTTATTTCGAATAACAAGGAGCATATAATTAATTACTAAGAAAGTTACAAATAAGAATAAAATATCATAAGAATCTGGCATTCTTTTCCAACCGAATGCGTACGCTTCATGCTATAATTAAACGAATAACACAGTCAATTAAAGTAATGAACGTAGAAAGAGAGATTAAAATCTTTTTTACCGAGCTTTCGTTTCTCCATTTATTGATTCTTCCAAGAATGCCCGATGTTACAGATAATTCCCCTTCTGATGGCGGCTTAATTGTTCGAAAATAATCTAATTATCATCTATTGACATAATATGAGATTAAATTATATTTTAAAATATGTAAATTATATTATAAAATATGATTAAATAATTATATAATGTTGCGTTCAAAAATTAAATTTATATAGATAAAAAAAAAAGTTTGAGATTTTTAAAGGTATTATATATTATATACATTTTCTATATATATATATTATAGAGGTTGTAAAAAATTCAATTTTTTTGCTCTTTAAATTAAGATATAATGTAAGAAATTAATGATTTTGTCAATTGTGTGATATTTTTTATTAAGAAACTGTATTAATATTATTGTAATTAATATTAAAATCTTTTATATTTTTTTTAATTTATTATGAAATAAACAATTGAAGATTAATTGAAGGATTAAATGAAAATAAACAGTACTTGGTCACCCATTCCGGTAATTATAGGAATATTCCAATAAGCAGCAAGTCGTGCCACGGGTTCAAGAGCGAAAGCACAAGCTGGACCGATGAAAGCGATCACATTGTCCCGGAAGTGCATGTCGGCCGCCAAACCTGGTGCTGCGGCTCCGCTGCACGATGGATAACTATAAATTTTTTTTTTTTTTTATATTTTTATAAATAGACAGCATATATGATATTTTTTATCTTTATTCTAATTTTTGTACCAAATTTGATTGAACATGACATAATTTTATATACTTGACATAATTTAATTGAAAAAAATCTGATACATCCTGAAAATAATCTTGATAAATAATCATAAAATTTCGAATAAAAAAACTACGATCATTTTTCTCTCTTATTTTTCATACACGAGAGGACGGAAAAGAAAAAGATCCTCTTTAATATAACCTCACGACCCATTATTTATCGACAATCTTTTAGTAGATATTTCTCCGTGGAATGGCTTTTCCACAACGCAATTCTATCGTAGCCTAACGTTAGAACAAAGAAAAGAAGCGGACACATTGTAAAGATCGAACAATAGCGAGAAAAGGAAGGAGGGTAAGCGAGTTGATGGATGATCGTGTTTCAATGTGTAAATAGATCGAATTACCTGGAGAATAAGGGTAAAACGATCGAAATCGTTGTGATGTTCGTATGAGGGGATGGAGATACGAGAGAAGCCATGGAACTTTCGAAACGTAGTATAACCCATCGAATGATTGATAATTGTTAGGGGTTGGCAGAGTTGCAGTGTCATTCCAAGTGTAAGGAACGACGAGGAATAATGATAGATTTAATCGGTGACGTTGAATGGGGCAATGATTGGATACTGGACAAATTATCACGTTCAGTAATCCTTCCCTTTCGTTCCCTTCGAATTAACGAATCGTAATGCGAATTTATCAATTCTCTCCGATTATTCTAATTCTACGACTTTGCTAAAAATGAAAATTCGTTTGTAAAATTATGTTTTAATTTTATTTTCCGTTTCGAAAATTTGATATTTGATTGGTAAGTATATAAGTTATTTGGTATTTGATTTTAAATAATATGTTGTTCAAATCGATGTTCTATATTCTTTGTATTTGGCATAATTGATATTAAGAATTTCTATTTTTCGTTAATTTTCATACTACTATTAATCTTATATCAATGTTTTTGGTAATGGATATATTTAGAATTTTTAATATTCGGTGTTTTTTTTTTCATATTCTCAAATTATTATATATATTTAAATCAAATTGCTTTTTCAATTTCATTCGAATCTCTTAAGCGGTTATTCTCGTTTTATGAAAATGTGATCGTGCGATCAAATGAATTTGATCATCAAAAGTTTGTTTTTCAAGAAAACTCTGTTTGTGCAAAACAGTTCAATTGGATTAATGTAATGATATGGAAGGAATGGAAACACGTGGTCAAAAGTGAGTCAGTTTACACATGGTCACGCGTACGCGCAATCTAGAACGTTTACTTTTTTCTTTTTTTTTTTTATTCAAATAAAAAATAACAATTGAAAATGCATTTTTTTTTAGAAAACGAAAACATAAAGAACGTAAAAAAATGTAAGATTAGAACGCATCAAATTTGCAATTTTATCCAAAAATTTATATTTATGTTAAAAAAATGATTTGTAGTAAATGATAGTGATAACATTTAACGTTTTAATTTTCAACAAGTCGTATAATTTATTTTATCTCATCACTTTTCTTTCTCCTATAAAATATATCGGGGATAAAGGAAAAGAGATAAAAAATTTTCTTAATTCACCTTACCTTTCTTGAACCTTGCGCAATTTCACGTTGTGGATGCTTAAGAAATCGTTTACTTCGGTCAATGCCAGATCCACGGCTGGCCCGCATCTCTCGAGATCGAAGGGACTGTTCAAATGGGAAGCCATAAGAACACCGACGTTGTAAATCTTCAGAGGATATTCATAATTGTCTGGATAAATAAGAAAAGGAAAAACCAATTTGTAATCATTTATATAAGATTATGAAATTATTATAATTATTATAAAATCAATGGAGAAAATTATAACATTCAAATGAAACACGTGATATGCCATTATATTTAGCAGAAATTGAATCGACAGTCAAACGAGTAGAATAAATCGTTACTGTGTCAGCCGTTAAATTAAATCGCACAGAAAATATGAATAATTTCATTCATATAAGCAATTGCTCGCGATACGAAAAAAAAAAGAAAATTGCAAAAAAGAATGTGTGATTTTAACAATATTTTCTTTGCAATGTTTTAATTTTTTTTATCATTTTATATTTTTTTCTTATTCTTTAATTTAATAGACTAACAATAATTTGTGATAATAAAAGAATAAATAAAATTTTCATATATACCTTATTAATATAAATTTTAAAAATTAATCGAATACTTTAATCTTACCTGGTGACACGTTAACGGAACCCAATGTCTGAGAAATCACTGCGATTATTAGAAACTTTGCGCTCACATACAACACCTGTTTGTACAGATTCTTCTCCATTCTTTTTTTATTGCGATTATTATTTTAACAATACGAAAACGTTACATTCGAATAACATGATTTAATTTTATTAAGAAATGAAGTGAGATTTTCGCGATTAAAGATTATTAATGAAAAAGATTCGTTCCTAGTTGCTTTAACATTATTCCATCACAAGTATTGCAAAGAGAATCACGTGACGAACGCCAGTTAGAATACATCTAAACCAACCCCGAAGAAGATTCACCCTTATATACCAATTGGTACAACGCGTTTGTGCCACTATAACACAAAATTGTTACACAATTTATTGTGTTAAGTATTAATCACACACGTGTTTTCTTTTGTCTGGAAAATCTTAATAAATTAGAATAAATTATAGTGTACGTGAGTAAAATAAACTAGTTGGAATATATGCATTTCGAAGATTTGGTACATGCGCCTTGACGATAGAAACCAACGAACCATACATGTATCATCTACGCATGCCTCGTATTTTGAACCTCCTTTCGATACTTCATATCAAAGGGATACATGTTTTTCATAAATTAATATACGCATAAAATAACGTTTATTATTAATTCTTCTTCTCGTTAATTGAGAACACCCGAATATTTATTTCCATTTGCTTGAAGAACTTCGATATTTCGCTGACGAATACTCTTTGTCCTCTTGAGTGCATAATTCTTCGTCTAAGAGAAGTTCAAAATTTCCGAGTGCTTCCGGTGGTGGAGTTTTGTTCCATCTTACGCTGTCGAAAATCGAATTTAAGTGATATTGAAAAAATTGATTTTATGTGAGATTAATGTGAAACTTACTCTGGGACACCATCGGGTGGTACGACTATTGAGATTATATTATCGATTAATTTGTATTTTAAAATTCGATCGTTCACTGTAGTAGACGTCAGTGATGGAGACGCATTTACCTAAAAATAGAAAAAAAATTAGCATGAAACGATAAAACAAGAAGAAATGAAACGAGTGAAGTTTGAAAATACATATAATGCAGTAGTAAGAATGAGTTCAATAAGATCATATCTTGAGAAAAATGTATTTTAAATATATTTCATCAAAGGCGAACTCAATAAAAAATATTGATATCAATTCTTGTACAGGATTCATTTTCTGTGGAAAAAAGAGAAAACTTTGCAAAGATTAAAGACATGCATGTTAGTTATCAATATGATAAAATAACAATTTTTTTTAAAACATTTGCCCACTTATTATCCACAATATTTCATATATATAATATGTGATTGCTTTTAATATAAATATAAATGACTATTTCTTGATTACATATAGTTTTATATGTGCAGAATTAATATATAACAGAAACATAATAAATATATTCATAATTGCCAAATATTATCTTAATCAATATTATAAATAGTAAAATAATGAAATTATAAAATATTTAATTATAAAATAAAAAGAATTATCAAAAGATTTTAAAACCTCTATAAGCCATGGTTTAAGATCATTATCGATAATGATGTCATAGCCATAACACTCGAAACAATGTCGATCGTTTGCGATAACTGGAACGACAGCTTTTAAAGAATGTACAATGCACCAAGTGATGTTTGCAAACAATTTTTCTGTAACTGTTTTACCACGCGTGCTCTCCAAGTATAATCTTAAATTATGCACGCTTAATTTACCACCATGCTTACTATTATACTCTTCCTACAATAGAAATATTGAATCTTTTTATTTATCTCTTTTTTCTTTTTTTTTTTTTTTCAAGAAAGGAAAAATTTACTTACACCATGTTTTTGCACAGATACATTTGTAAGATGAACGTACATATTATCCAATTCTTGGATACTAGTATCGTATTTAACTGTACAAAACCGGCAAAATCCTAATTTGAACAGATATGCTTTCAATGGCCGAAAAGATGTAATAAGAACATACAAACGAAGATCAAATTTTTTGCCACCGATAAGAAGCGGGTTATCAATATATCTATATGTTTATTATAAAATAAATAAATATTTCTAATTATTTTAATATAAATTGCAAAATATTATTTTGTACCTAGATATTACGTATGATTCTTTTGTCAAATTTGGATTAAATGGGTTTTTTGCTTCTCGAGACCACTTTTTCAATTTACTTAATTTGTTAATTAAAAATATACCAGCACCCTGTGATTTTCCACATGGCTTCATGATCCATGTGCTTTGCGGTGATTTACGGTATTCTTCCACAAACATATTATAATCTAAAGATAAATTCATCACGTTAGATATATCAATTATAGGTATAATAATAATATTCTACCTGCCGGCAAAACAAACGTAACAGGTATGAAATCAAGATAAATATATTTCCCATCTCCTCTTTCCGCCAAAGGATTTCCTTCGCGTTCTAATTCCTTCCGATAACGTTTTATATTTTTTACTAAAAGGTCTTTTCGTGTCAATTCGTAATGATTCGGAAAATGATTGATTATTCTAAAAGCAATATATGATATATATCAAAACTTTTAATATTTGATATATATTTGATATATATCAAAATTTATTATATTTTTGATAAAAGATATTTAACTGTTTGTCATCCATCCTATAGCCAGTTTCTACGCTGAATATATTTCTGCATGATTGCGTGACTGCCCTATAATAATTTCAAAATATAATTTATTTATATAAGAATTAATTTCTTTTTATTTCTTTTTATTTTATAAAACAATAATAATTATTAATAAAAATTTTTTATATAAAATAATAATAAAAGAATAATATTTATTTTTAATTTTAAATTGTTATTACCAATAGAAATTCCAATCATCTTCCGGACCAACTTGAACCCATCCTCTCTTTTCAAAGTTATGTACGATTACAGACTTGTCCACATCTGTACAAAATGTCACTTTCGTTTTGTCCGTTCCACTTGTCGATACTCTGTAAACGTTTAGAATTTTTCTAGAAGAAAAAGGAAATACAGCTAATCACATTAATATTGAAATAATTTCTTCCTCCATTTATAATAATTAGATCCAATTATTAAGTATAATATAATAACTATAATATAAATTCTTTTTTTCATATATTTTTCATTTTCATTTACCTGCCATGATTATTAGATATGTTTAAATTTGCTACACGTTTATTTTCTACTACTGTACCGGACGCCATGCCTTTTAGTGTTACGAGTTAAATCGATTCACCGTGGATACACAAAATTCGAAAATTTATGTATATATATCGAATTCCCGCGCATGGAGATCCTCGAATATGATAAACAAACAAAAATGAGTCAATAATAAAATTTAAGTTAAACACAGTCGGTTAATATTTTATATTTAATTTACAATATTTTTACTTTATTTTCTTTCTAACATACATGTTATCTTTAATCTATAATTATTTAAAATTTAATTATTTTACAATATATATTTTAATATTATCTGATAAATTAATATTAAAATTAATTATATTATATTACATATAATTATAATACTTTAGCAAATAAAAGTTTTGTTGTATTGTATTATGTATTTAGAGTTCTAAATTAAGTCGATTAAATGATCGATTATCGTTTTAAAGTACCTTCTTGCCATGTCTATTTTTGTTGTAACATCCTTTTCGTTGCAAATCGATCATAATTTTGAAAAATTCAATCGTTTTCGTTAGGGAACAGAACCTTTTTCTATTGAAAAAAGACTGATTTGGTTATATTATGATAAATCAACATTTGAGCCCGAAATGAATAGTTTGTTTTCATGTTAAAGAACAACCGGCTGATTTCAAGTGTGTTTATACTTCGCTCTTATTTTTTTTCTATCTCTGTTGACCGATCATTTTACGTGCCAGAAACGCGCTAGCGTGTCGACCGGTAAGACGTATGAAATCGTATAGTTCTTGTACTAAAAATAAAAAATCATTTTAAATTCGTGATATCTCCAAATTGTGCTACCAATTATTTTAAATTTCTTTTTCGCATTTAAATTCATGTGACAATAAATACGTATTTATATTACAGTGCTTTTCGCGATTCATTATTTTGAAAGAACAAGTGGTTGTTAAAGGTATACGTGCATTTAAAAAATTGTTTTATAATTATCTAAAAAGATAAATATTTTAAAAAGACATTTGATAAATAATTTAAGAAGACATTTGAGATCTAAAAAAATTTAATATATCGATAATACGGATTTTCACATATTCTTTGTGGTCAGTTATTATTTTGAGATCGTATCGTAATATCTTTTATGTTTAGCAAATGTATTGTTCGAAACACTGTTTCATTTTGTCGAAACGATGTGAATTAAACGTTAAAAGCGAACTAAAAAGAGGCGATTATTACTTGCGAACCGGAAATTAAACGTTGCTCGAGAGTACCAAAACCGTCGTGAATATACGAGTGAATCATGTTTGCGCATTGGAATTTGTGTCATGAATTTATGATTCGAAATGCGTCTTTTATTAATTTCGTATTTACCAATGCATTTTAAGAAATACTAATTAAAAACAAATTTTTCTGTGTTCCGTTTGCTTTAACTATTTCTCAAGATATATACAAATTGTTATTTATTTGCTGTTATAATATTTATTAAAGAATATTTGTATTATAATTATTGATTAATAAATGTTCAATGATTTAATTAGGAAAGTACAAAATGTATTTCAATTCAAAATTTGGCAATCGTAATCCAATGAGAATGGCTAGAGGAAGAGGAATAGCACAAAGCAATTTATCTTCCAATGAATGCCTTTGTAATAGACCACATGGTTTTGTGCTTTGCAATGTTTGTGGTTATTTGACAAAGGGCAGAGTACGTTATTTCTGTCCTATTCATCCACAGGTGTGTTGTCTTTGATGTATCATATCCTTAAATGAAGTATGAACGAAAAGAAATTACTTCCTCTTTAATTAATTTTAATTTTTAGTAATTTTTTTTCTTTCCTTTTTGCAGACAATTTTTTTGCTTGACATTGCTCAATGTCCTCAATGTAAGTCATATGGTTTTATGTTGAGTGAATATTAAATATTAAAAATATCATATTCTTTATTTAATTTGATGTTAAAATATATTAATAATATTTTTCTTATTCTTATTATCATATTTTATTATCATGAGTAGATATATATTCTATCATTATTTTGTTTACTTATTTCAACTATTTTTATTATGATAACAATGTATTTATTTTATGTTATTGTAACAAATGTAGAGACATAAAAAGACAAATACAGATTAATATCATTAAACTTTATTTATTTTTATATTAAATAAATTTATTTAAACCAACTGGGAATGCCAGGACATTTATTTTTTTCTGTAAACTTACGAAAGTTAGCTTCTGTTTGTTCCATTTGTTCTTTATATTTCTCTTCTGAATCTTTAGGAACTATATTAGGAAATTCGAATGATTGATCTTTGGGCTAAAAATAATATATGTTTTTTTAATATTATTTAATTATTTAATATAATATATATATTGTATAATGTCAAAAATATTTTTACTAAAAATATGAAATTTTTCTCTAATACTTACTAGAACTACATAAGCTATTTTTATATCATCTTCTTTAACAACAAATTTTTCTGGCTTATGCGTTTTTCCAAGAGCAATCCTAGTATTCACATATATAGGATGAACGTCATAAATTTTTTCTAAATAATTTTTTATATCAAATTTTGTCATTTCCATTGAAACGTGAAATTCTACTATATTTTTTGGTTGGTTATGTTGTGGTTTTACAAGTTTCATCCAAAAATTTGGAAGAAATATTCTAAGTTGTGGGTTACCTTTTTGATATAAAGGATACCTATAAAATTAAAATAAAATCATATATATAATATATAAATTTAATATAATAGTTTATTCAATGTTATGTTTTAAATGTATTTTGAATCGTATATTAATTTTATTATTACAGAAAAAATGTATATTTACCAACGAGTAGACATTTTTCATAGAAAAAATTTATTGCAATAGTAATAATGTATTTATATTAAACTTATATAACTGCATATAAACAAAGTTTAATATTTCATTCGTAACATAGAGGTTATGTTACAATTTTCACTGATATAAACTAGATGGCGAAACAGATGCGTCTTATATTTAATATACATAGTTCTATTCTTTTAAATCTAAAACAAGTTTGATTTTTATATTAATTTTTCTTTCTTGCTCTATTGTAAAATAAAATTTTTGAATATGTTTCTTTTTTTAAAATCGATTTCGATTTGAACTTTTCTCATTTAAATTTATTTATTGACAAAATTCTTAACAAAATCGAAGTTCATAAGTGATTCGATAATCGATTTTATAAAACATTCAGCTTTTGAACCGATTCAGTGCTGTAAAAAAGACGTCCAAGTGTATTTCGGCATGACTTCTTTCTTCAGCTAAATTAACAAGAATATGCTTCACGAAATTGTTTCGCAACGAAACCCGCTTTGACAACGAAACAATTTGTCTAAGAAGATTGTTATTAAGTACTTGTATGAAGTAAAGGATTATATTAAACGCTTTCCAGAATTTTGTTGACATTTTTAATCGAAGATGAGCTGCGATTTATTACCGGAATGGCTGAATCTTTTCCTGGACGATGTAGAAACTACTTTATGCTTACCAATATTACTTATTATGGTCCTTTGTACTCTTCAATTTATAGTTAATCACGCAATGGACATTGGCTTTACTTTTTATCAAAATATAATGCAAAAATCTGACGAAGAAGAAGAAGTAAAAAAAGGCGAAGGTTTAATGGATAAGATTAGAGGTTCTTCTTCCATGTGGAAAAATTTATTTGAAAACATATTAAATTTTAATATTATTTTTTATAAATAATCTTTAAATTTTTTCTCTAGGATATATATGTAACGTAACTTGTGTTGCTGGTAATAACGATTCGAAACCAGAAGAGAGCGCAGCACCATCGATGCTTAGGTCAAATTTGCAAGAAGAGGAATGGGATTATTGTGAGGACGACGAAGAAAAGTGACAGATAAACATTGCAGGAAAAATTATAAGCTTCATTGATAAGTAATCTATTGTAACTTTTATATTGCTTATATTTTAAAATATTATTTTCAAATTGATACTATATTAAACTTAATAAATAATACGAGAAATAATGCGATATTAATAGAAAATGAGATACAAGAAAGAGTTAAAATTATAAAAAAATAATTTATTACGAACATGATATTTTTGATTTAAAAATTCTATTGTTTTATAAAAAAAAAACTTTGGTTTTCATTTTTCAATGTAATTTTGAATCATTTAGTTTTTTTTATTATTTTTTTATAATGAAAAAAGAAAGTAAAAGAATAAGAAAATATTTAGATAAATAGAATTAGGTACCGAAAAAATATTATTTACTTAATGACATTTTATGATGCTAAATAATCTGCATTATGTTAGTTCAAGGATTCAAAGCTAAAAAAAAAAAAAAATTAAGTAAAGTTGTGATTTTTTGATATTTTTAATTCTCTCTTTAATGAAAATCCAATGAATATCAAGAAAGAAATTCGTGTACAAATAACATATCTGAATATCGTTGAGCCTCAATCCAGATTGGAGATTAAGTGATATTTTTCTTGCCAGTCTATTGGTTTGCGCGAAAAGATTGGACTTGGTTTATTACATGCCATCTGAAACATATCGTTTTTTCATTTTGCACGATAAATTTCACTATTACCATTTACTTATATGGTTGCTTTATTCGTAAACTTGTTTATTGAACTTGTATTAAAATTAATGTTCGACATTCGATTAAATGACCCTCCTTAAAAGTTATACTAGAACAGACTGTTTTGTGATCGTGCACGTCTTTCTTTTATATTTTATATTTATCTGTCTTTTTATAACAATATTAATTGAATCACCTATCAGGTGTTTTTTTAAGGCTGCATCTTTCTTTCGTTTACATTACCTCTTTCTCCTAAAACATTTTTTTTTTATATGAAGAAAAAATAAATTCTAAATATATGATAAATATTTATTAAAATAAATTTATAAAAAAATTAAAATAAGTAATTAAAATATATTAAATTTGTTTTTTTTTTACGAATAATTATTTACTTTCGATTGTCTCACTCATTATTAAAATAAGTATGTTTTTAGGAAAAGGAGGTGATGTATTTTAATACATTTCAATAATTTACACAATTCTCGCGAAAAAATCCGTCCGTTTCAAGTCACTTAGCAATGATAATGGTAAGAAGAATATCAGCAGCGATAAGAATATTAAATATTATTATAGTAACAGTAGTTATAATGTAAATGGTAGAAATCTAATGTCTTTCATTATGGCGAACCATTCTCTAAAAATTCCCACTTATGGATTTTCGTTTTAGACACATTTCATTTGTTTGAAGTTCGTGTCTTATTATTTAATCTGAAAATGTATACACAAACATTTCACTCATACTTTACAAGGTTTTTTTCAGAGACCCGTCACAAATCATCTTTTTTTTCATAATATAATGAAAAAGTACTAATTATATTAATTTATGAGTGATTTAATTGCATTTCTTTGGTCGCATAGAAGAAATATATTGCTACATAATTTTTCTTGTTCGATTTATTTTTTTTTTCGATTGTTAATCAACATTCATTCATTAAACAACTAATCTTCAAAATAATTCCATTGAACTTTTTATGTTAAAATTTTATTTATCGTTTTTTCGATATAGCCAAAACACAGAACATTCCACCAATATTCTTTCATCCACTTAAATTCAAATTTTCTTTCACAAAATCATCCGTGATTGCAGCGTCACATGAAAACATTCTCCAAACCGGAAACATTTTTCCTTGTGGGCGTAGAGGTGGCACAACTCACGCCCTCATCCTCAAACGTGACCATCTTCTCGCGGCTTCTTGTCGCCGTTCCTGTACATTCCAATAATCTAGACTGGTTCGTCGATGCGGAATTAGATGCCGAAGGTACCGGTGGCGTGACAGCTGAGGATGGTCGTAAAACTGAAGTAGGTGGCGGTGGTGGCACAGCCATGTCCGTAACCGCCGCTGCTGCCAGATTGAACTCACTCACGCTTCTAGGCACAAAGTACTCGAAGTGTAAGGAACTTTCTTGTTGACGATGTTGATGGTGATGATGATATTGTGTTGGAGACAAACAGCTGCGTCTTAAAGATTGGGCACGTTGAAACTGTTGAGTCGAAGAATTTCTGGATTCGGATGTTTTCTTTCGTGGCAGAGAATGATGACCTGGTGATGGTTTTATGGCAGTGTTGGACGCGTGGGCCAGGAGCTTCCCGTCCGCGGGACTCCTAGCCTGATGCTGTCAGGATGTTGGCACCATGGACATGGCGATCGCTTCTTCTTCTTGTTCGGACAATCGCGAGTCACTGGTACCTCCTCCGTCATCCAAGTCGGCCTTGAGCCCAGGACTGGTACCTGTTAAATATATTAAGGGTTTATAGTTTTTTGAAAGATGAATTAAAAAATGTTACTTTTTGATTTGATTAAAATGGTTCTTTTTTTTTTGCATTTTTAATGAAGGGGTTATGCAGAGTGGTCAAGATGCCCAATCGAAATCCCCGACGCGAGTGGATCAGAACCGCTCTACGTGCAAGCGAATGCGAGTTTGATATTCGTTTCGTGATTCCTTTAACACTTTGAGCCTGAATTGGAAATGACGTCTTGCTTTTGAAAGAAAAAGCTAAAGCTTTGATAATTAAATAAGGTTAAAAATAAATAATTATTTATATTATTATATAATTCCTTTGATATATTAAGAAATATATAGAATTTAAGGTTACAAACGCATTAATATTTCATTAAATTAAATTAGTTTGTTTTCATTAAATTAAATTTTAAAAAAAATCAATATTTTTGATTTTATATTTCCAAATGTTTGAAAAATATATAGTTGCGAAATATCATGTTTAAATCAATATTTATGAATAGATTAAAACTAACAGGATTTAATTAGACTAAAATTCCAACTAATATAAATTCTAAATTTTTTTTTTTAATTTTATTATATCAACAAATTTGATAAATCTAAACCTAATTTAACCAACAGCTTATCAATAATTGCATTGCTATTTTTAAGAATATAAGTATACAATAGTAATACCAATATTGTCATAGAAATACTGTTAGTTTTTAAACATTTTATCATATTATCTACATTTATATATAATATATATCATCATCAGACTCAAAGCGTTCAAATTAGAATCTAAAGCATAGCTGAATAAAATAACTTCTCGTCCGGAACAAATTAGCGGTTCCCCGTCGAATGCCTGCATCAGGGATACCTGTACCACCGATAGGTCCGACCACCACCCCCGACGACATGCCGCAGGTTCTACCGAAGACCCTGACCACGCGTACCACCTCCTCCTGGACGAGGTTGAAGCACATGGCGATCAGGCCCATCCCAGCGAGTATGTAGAGTGAGCAGGCGCACAAGCTGAGCTCCTCCAGAGTAGCGGACGCGGCGTTTCGTCCAACGGGCATTAAGTCACCGAAACCAATGGTTCCGAGGCTGGTGAAGCAGAAGTAGCCGCCTTCCAAAAGGCTCCAACCTTCCAGACGGTTAAACATTAGCGCGCCACCGCATATGTAGATCAGCATAATCACCAAGCAAAGACTAATCGGTATCCTCACGGGATTCGTTTCCACCACGTAGCCTGGTGACGAGTTCGTCGATAGGGACAGTGAGCATGGATGAAAATGACGTTTACTGTTTCCCGACGACATATCCTGATAAAGATTGAAATATTTGTTATGATATTATATACAATTATATAATATATTATGATATTGTGTTTTTACATATTTTATATTTTTTTAATATAAGTATGGTATATATACTTAGATTATTTGTTAAGTTATATATTAATTGTAATTTGTAAGCACGTTTATAATTTTTCTAATTTATTATTTTGTTTGTTTTTAATCCAGAATGATTATCCACAATTCTATTGCAATGATGCATCTAGTGTTCTCATTGTTCTTATTCTCATTAATTGATCAATCAAATTTTCTAATATTAATCACTTTTTAAATGTAAAATCATGTTTTCAGAATAAAATACGTTATACCTGAAGTGCAGCAGTAGAGCTAGTAGTAGCATGAAGCAATCCCTCGCTTCCACAATCCAATAAGATGGCACTACTGGTGCCTCTAGTTCCTAGATCATCGCAGGAGCTCTCTCTACTAGCCGAATAGTAATTTCCAGATTTTGAGTCGACATGGTTATCGTATCTATAAGTTTTGCTCATAATTCCGCCTACAGGAGGCGGCGGTGGAGGTGGTTGTTGCTTTCTGCTGCAATTTCTTGGTCTACACAGTCGGCCATACAAACGGCGGAAGCTCCTTGAGAGGACATCACCAACCGTGCTTAAATAGACTAGCATTAAGGGAATCCCGGCTAGAGCGTACACTATTGTGATCAAACGACCCCAGACTGTGCGAGGCGCCACGCTACCGTATCCTGAAATGTCAATCGACCAAATCGTATCACAATCGGCCGCTATTAAGAGAACAAGCGAAGACTGGTTGAATATGAAACATTTATTGGAAATGTAATTGATGTATTTTGATTGTAAATGAATTGTAAATTGGAGTTGGTTTTACGTTATTCTTTTATATAGAATTTTTATTTAAAAGTTTACTTATTGTTGAAAATATGATACGTCATACAAGTTAATTTCTATCTTATTTATTTTTAACTTATATGATGTATAATAATATGAATGTTATACATATATATATAACTTTTATATATTTTTTATATCGTTCTAAAAATTGTATATAAAAAATACTTATATTTTTACCAAAAATGTTAAGTGTCCTTACCTATGGTAGTGATCAGAGTCAGGGAATACAGCAAACTACCACTGAAAGTCCATCTTCGATGTGATCTCCTATCCATGGAATGTTCCCTAGATCGAGATGATGGTTCATATTGCGAAGAAGTTCTGCTAAGACCTCGTGCCAGATTTTCTTGGAATTCAAACACTTCTCTCGCTGCTAGCCTTGTCCAGTTTTCCTTGTACAATACATTCAGATCCTCTGTGATACTCCAGAGTCTTTCAACGGTACGTGCTCTCAGTTCCATAGCGGTATCATCTTCAAGACTAGGTACCGCGTACGATCCTCCCTCAGATTTTGAACCCGTGGAAACGAGCAGATCGTTCGCTGAATCCTGTCATACAAAAGCGAAAATATTTATTTTATTTGTATAATTTATTTAAAAAAATTCAGAATTAATTAATGATTACAGAATTAATTTCATAACTTGTGCATAAATTTATGTATGCATAGAATAATTTCAAAAAATTAAGAGAAGAAAAAAAATACTTTATATCTCTTTCTATATTTCATTAATAAGTTATTTCATATTTTAAATATACGCGTATATATGAAATAAATAAAATCAAAGTTATTAAAGAAATCGTTACTCACCGATTTCAGACCACCTTCCAGCGCCATAAAAGCGAATGCACCAAGCAGTGTGTACCCCAGCACAAGCACGCAGACTCCTAAGCTGGCCAACAATCCTGGCGTCTTGGTAGATGTTGCCGTGCTGCAACTGCAGCAACAACACAGTAATTCCGCTCCCCTCACAGAAGCGCTGATTCTCAACGCGTCCGCATTCGCGTTCGCGTTCCTTCCTGGACAGCATCTCGGCGCCCTCTGATAGTAGTCGCCGGTGCTCTGCATCGTTTCAGCCACCGTC